GGGGGCTGCAGGCAGGACCATCGCAAGGGCCAATGGCAACTAGCGTCCTCCCGATGCTTCGCCCTGCCTTTTCCCTTACTCCACCGCCATTATTATGCTGGCCAAGGCTAATGGGAATGCAAGGTGACAAGTTGCCCATATCTGTTCTCCAGGCGTGCTGTTCTTGTAAGAAGGGGCATCAAATGGCAAGCCCCTCATAAGCACTGCTCCAGGGGGGCTGGTGTCCAGCACTGGCTGGACCAGTGGGTGCCCCACATGTACAACAGCGTCTGTGGCCCCGTGGCTGCAGGCAGCCCAGGTGAATGAGCAGGTGGCCCGTGCGGACAATCGTGGCAGAACAGCTGCTGCAGCTGCAGGCAGCCCAGATGAACAAGGTGGCCCATGAGGAGGCGCTGCCCTGCCCAGGAAGCCACTAGGGGTCACTGTTGGGCTGAATGGAGACCTTGACTGCCTGGGTACCAGGGAGCTTCCGCTGCATCACTACCTCCTCCACCCATGGCTCACCTTGAACTCGCCATTCAGTTCCCACAAGGAGTAAAAGAGATGGGCCCGCCTGGGGAAAAAAGACCCCCCCCAGTTAGAAATTCTGCCCTCCAGGAACTAGCTGGAATTACTCAGTGGTGGGAAGCAAGCACTCTGCACATGTTCAGTCATTCTCGTTCTTTACACACAGTGATGTGCAGCTATGCTTCATGGCTGAAGTGAGGCTGCCTGAGGGACCTGGGCCAGGCACTCCCTTCAGACTCTCCCCGGTCCTTGCTAACAGGACGAGCTGTGCGGCTGGGGTACGTGCGGAGTTTGACCCCGGCAGCCAGCATTTACTCGGGGGTGGTTTGAAGCTAGTGCTGGGGAAGCCAAGACGGAACAGGTCTGAGGAAGGGATTGCTCCCACTGTGGCCCATCCACCTGGGGCTCCTTCCCATGGGTCAGGGCTGGGCGTGGAGGTGGGTGACGCCTCCGCTGGGAAGTTGCATTTACATCCTTTGTGTAGCTGAGGCCTGGGACTGGAAAGAGGCTCATGGGCTGAATCCAGAATCGCTTTCAGTGCTGCTCACACCCAGCATTAGCCTCTTCCACGCTCATCCTGCATGTCAGAAGCTCAGGGCCAGTTTGGCAACCAAGGCAGGGAAGCTGGTAAATGGCCTCCAGGGGGCAGGTAAGTTTTGCGCTCTCTGGCAGAAGACCTACCCTGCCCTACTGAGCAGACGAAGCTGCTCAGGACCTCTCCGTTGCACTGTGGATCTAAGTCCCATACTGCCCGATCGCCGAAGCCGTCTGCGAGGTTTGCCGCGCGACAGTCTTTGCTCGCGGAGTTGCGGTCACCGGCTTCCCTTCGGAAAGTTTCGCGCCTCGGAAGTGTAGCGCTCCCTTCTCGCCACTGGATGGCAGCATCAGGAATGCGAGAGGAAGCGAACACGTGCAGTCGCACGGAAAGTGTCTGGTGGCACGCATTTCCCCGCCTCGAATGCAAACGCAAGGGGGGACCTTGTCCCAAAATGTCTGCAAATGCTTGGACATGCGCTTGTGTTGGGAAATGGAGCATATTTCAGAGAGAAATGCAGTTTAGAATACACCATATTCATCCTTTATAGGAGACCGAAAACTGCATGCTGGTGCAGCTTTCCTGTGGGATCACATCAATAGGGCATCTTATCAACGGAGCAGTGATCACAAGGGACTGTGGAAACCAAGCGGGAGACAAGCATCACGTGTGGGGCCTTGATTAGGAGTGCAGGTCGACTAGCTTTTGGAGGAAAGAAGGCCTCGAGGAGGATCGCTCCGCTTCCAGCTGGGCGCACGGAGGGTGCTCCAGTGGGCCTTGCTTTATTCCAAAATTGTCAGGGTACGTTTGTCTCTCTCGGCTGCAGTGACAAGTCCTGGCAGGCCCTGCAAGAGTGCCATGGGCGTTGCCCACCCCTGCTCCCGAGCGTGGGCCGGGCGCCTGTGTGCTTGTCCCTCCCCCAGTCGCATCGACACCAGCAAAGCCGCCCAGGGCTCATCTCAGCACCTCACCAACCAGCTCATGGGCAAGGGCTTCAGCACCCCTTCAAAGTGGAGCGGCAGGAACAGACGCTCTTGGGAAGGCCCCTGCAGCTGCTTGCCAAGTGCCGGGAGCTGGAGTGGGCCTCCCACCGTGCGACGCCGCGCTGAGCCCAGGACAGCCTCCTTCCATAGGGACCCCGCCTGGTGATGCCCAGCACACCTCACAGCCCAGCACCTGGGACAGCGCGAGCCACCAGGGCCGCCCAGAGGAGCTGGCCCAGTTGGATTTAGGGCTGGCTTATTCATCTGTCTGCCTATTTATTCCTCTGTCATGTTATCACTCTATACTGCTTTCCACAAGCAGGGACCCATTTCCAGCAGGGGCCTTCCAGCTTGCCAGGTCCCAGGCTCGACAGAGGGCCCTCTTCCAGCCCACCACAGCATCCGAGCGCTGGGCCAGGGCCCTCACTGGTCCAGATGTTCTGGGCAGAGAGAGCGTGTTGCCACCTGGTTCCCCTCAACTCTGCTCTAGTGAGGCCCCATCGGGAGTCCCATGTCCATTTCTGGGCACCACGCTTCTCGAAAGATGCAGATAAACTAGATAAAGTTCAGAGGAGGGCAGCAAGGATGATCCGGAGACTGGAAACAAAGCTCTATAAGGAGACCACCAGTTTCAGGAAGAGGAGACTGAGGGGACCTTTGATAGCACTCTTCACGTCCCTAAAAGGCCGTCACAAAGAGGAAGGACCAGATCTCTTCTCAAACATCCCAGAGTGCAGGACGGGGAATACCTGGCTCAGGTATTCCAGGTTCTGGCTGAGCATCAGGGAAAATTTTCTGACCCTTAGAGCAGTGTGGCAATGGAACGGACTACCTGGGGAGGGGAGGGGCTCTCCCTCACTGAAAGCATTCAAGAGACGTTGGGTTAGCTCCTGGCCAGGAATGCTTACTGTGGAGCCCGGCACTGGGCAGGGGGCTGGAGTGGGTGGCCTCTTCCATGATCCCACGTCGTGCTGTGCATGGATGCTCCCTTGCTCCAAATGCCCGGGCTGCTCCTCGGGGTTCCACCGAGACCGGTTCTGGGGATAAAGCAGTGTCCCGCGGCACCCCACAGCACCAGTGCTGGGGTCCAGGATGCAGCTTTCTGAGCCCTTGAGTGGGATGCGCTGGGCGTGGCAGGGAGGCAGGCAAAGGGGTCGTCCCTGGGGGTTACCTGCGCACTCCACCTGCCCCTGAAGCAGAGCCCCGAGCAAAAGCCAGGAAGGCTGTTGGCACTAGCACTGGCCCAGGTGGCCCTCTCTGGGCGCGCTCTGCTGAGGGCCGCAGGCCGCACCTCAAGGAGTGTGTCCTCTGCCAGCTCCTGTCCCTGGGGGGGCTGCAGCATGTGGCCATAGGCTGCCCCCAGGATCAGGGCGGTTGCTGGTGCACACCAGTCGAAGGGGAAGATGGTGGGAGGGCGCTGGCACACCCGTCCTGCTTGTGGGCTTTCCTGGGGCAGCTGCTGGCCATTGAGGGCACTGACTGCCGGACGGGTCAGCAGGGCTCCTCTCGTGTTCCTAAACGGCCACAGCCCTTTAAGTGGCACCACGATTTCGGGCCAGTCTGCAGTTCTCATGCAGCTCTTACAGAAAGTGCGTGGTGCTGATGGGCTGTGCAGTCTGCTCTGCACGTCTCCGGCACGTGGGGGGGCGGGTGCTCTGCACCTTGCAGATGATTTAGTAAGAGGAAGGCCGCACGGGCTGTAGAAGGTGGAGCAGTGAAGCACGTCTTCCTGCGCTGGCCCAGCCTGCTTGTCTGCTGCTCTGGAAGCCCAGGGGGACCCAGCACCGGCCGTGCCCTCCCATGTGGCCCACTGGCCCTCCCTCGCCAAGGAGCACAGCACAGCGGCCGTGTGTGTTCGTAGATGATTTATTGGCAGGGTGGGGCAAGAGAGGTAGGACAGACGGCATCAACTTTGAACTCGTCCCAGCGAAGGTCATTGCTCTGTCTGGGGGAAAGACCAGCCCCCCCACCTCTTCCCCCAACCCCCCATGGCAGCCTTCTTCATTCCTGCCTCCAAGGCACCTTCGTTCAAGCTTTGCCCAGGAATCCCAGCCACCCCGAATCCCCTCCCATGAGGAGCACCCTGGCCTCGATGCGCTGGCGGAGAGAGTCGCCCTCCGGCTGCTGCGGGGGTGACGCACGGACCCACCTCCCCTCGTGCAGGGGAGAGGCAGCCATTCCCCATCTCCCCAGTTCCTCAGTGCCTTGCCCCACCAGCCAGCACAGCGGGGGCCCGGCCAAAGTACCAATGGTGCTGCACCCGGGCGAGGATGCTGGCCCGATCCTGCAGTGCTGCACACGGATGGTCCTCTCTGCCGCACCACAGTGCCCTCCTCACAGCCCACCTGGCCTGGTGCTCACCACCTTCGTCCAAGCCCCAATTCTGGCCACCTCCAGGGCGAGGCCTCCCTCCCTGCTCAGCTGCAGGTCCCGCTGGGCCAGTGGGCCCTGCTTTCTCCTCGGGTCTGCGGGAAAGCTGCGTCCTGATGCCGCAGTGCTGCGGGCAGGGCAGAGGGGACCTGGAAGGACCACTGGGCGGCTGCCCTCCAGACGAGATGCTCTGCAGGCTGGGCGCCCTCGCGGGTGGCGGGGAGGCGCGTGGCTGACACGGGGCGAGGGCTGGAGGGACGAGGCCGCCTGCTCACCCAACTGGGCCCCGTCGCGGGGCGGCGCTGATCGTCAAGCAGGCGGGCTGAGAGGGCGCGAGCGGCGGCCCCTTCCCGGGGTCTCACTTCACACCGGGAGAGACACAGACATGGCGGAGGGCC